TTTGAAAACGTAAAAAAATAGCTCACTATTTTTTTGAAGAATGAATTTTCGAGGAAATATATTTAAAGTCCCCCCCCCCCAGTGACGGGAACAGTCCCTGGCTACGTAACGGTTAGAATGCTGGAACTATAATTTTTTTTTTTTTTAGGTAATTCAATGAACTTTATCATGAGGCGAGGATGCAATCAAATTGGGATGCCTTCATAACGGTGCCGCAGCAAGAGGTAACGTGCACAAATTGAAGCTCAGTTTCTCCTTGAAATTGATTATCGGCATCCTTATGCAAGTACGATTTTCAATTTCAGTTACTGATTTATTAAATAAAGAAGGTATTATATAAATCTTCGGAATCTTTATGATCTCAATTATACTTCCAAGAAAGTATCATATACGAAACAATATGTCATACCTTTTTTTAATACTTTTTTCATCCATAAAAAACCAGTCCAATTTTGCTAATGTTACCAACCTCGCTTCAAGAGATCCTGGTTGTATTTTTACACATTATAAAAGTATACATCTTTTCTTGGGGAGGAAACCACGAAAAACTCCCATACAGACAGCTCATTCGCCGGAATGTGAAATGGAGTTGATCTAGCTGTTTTCAGCAATATTACCGTGGGCCGCTAAAGGATCTTAACAATAAATAGTTTAATATTGATAAAAATTTGAAGCGAATGCATGATTTGCAACACTGCTTCTTATATTCTTTATGGTGCATAAGTTGATGTATATTGCATATCAATACATTATTGGTCAGCGAGTTCCTTATCATAGGTATTATAGCACGTGGTTTAGCAACGTTTCCTATTTTAAAAAGAAGAGAGTTTTAATTTTCCCATTCGAGTAAAAATTGTAAGACCTACTTCCAAGTGCTAATAAAGAGCTGAAATGCAGAAATAAGAACTTAACTTTACAATATATTCACATGTTTTATAATTTATAGGCACATATTTTTATTCAGATAATTTGCTTCCATTTTCTTTGTATTTTTCTTAGAAAGTTTATTAAGGCTTTTAATTATATACGAAAATTCCATCTTCATTTCTTTTATTCATGTGATGTCAGACATAGTAGCGTAGCTAGAGGGGGCTAGTTCGCCACAGACAGCATAAATTTGAGGCGCCAATTTCATATGAAATAATATTTGATGGAGGTTAGTCCTGCGAATCTTTCAAGCAAATAAAGAACAATATGATTCTGAACTACTTTATGAAATTAATTTAAGAAAAAAAAAATCTGTAGATTAGTATCCAAAGGAATCACCGCGAGATTTCCACAGCTACCATTTTTATTCATTCAAAACTTGAAAATTACGAATATCAATTAAATTGTTATCTCGGTGCATTAAACCTACGGGGAGTAGCGAGATTAAGCAAGTTTTTCTTTCCAAATACAAGCGATATCTGTCAGACGTAAATTTGTAATACGAGATGTGTTTGTTTGCGCCCACTGCAATGCATAACTGGAATATGAGCTGAGCTCGGTTGAGGACTATCAAAAGGTTAATAAGGAAGTATTCCCTCAGTTAGAGAGAAGTGTTTGAAAGTTTTATTTCCGTTATTATTACTAAAGAAAGCGAAACGGGAATATGAAAATGTGGGTCCTATTGACGTTTTACTATTTGTTCTAAAACACAGTTCTTCAGATAATGTAATTTTTTACTGTTGAGAATTTTTTCACAATTGTGTTTCTAGTTGTGATAAGAGTTCTTTAAATAAAAATCATTTTAGAACTACAAATGATTAATTTTGTATTTAAGAAATAGTTATGTCAGCATAATACTCTATAATAGGTGGCTTTGCAAACAAATATTTGTCTGTTTTGAAATTTTAAAATGATGGAATTAAAATTTTTTTTCAGAATTAAAGATAGATTTTTAATGTATTTTTCTCTTTGTCGTTTTTACATTCAGTCATTTGCTTATACCAAGAGGAGAGACAAATTCAAAGACTGCCTAGGCGGACACACTCAGAGTCCGCCCTGGGCGCCAAATGTTCTAGCTATGCCGAATATCATTTAAATTGAAGAAATTTACAGAATAGATTATAGCCTTTCTAAGACAATCTTCAGCATGTCTAAAAGATTTGGTTTTCTATGAAGACGGTTGTTTAAAAGCAATGCTTTATGTATATTTTCAGAAAGACTAGTCATTTTAAGAGGTGGTCGTCTTAAGTTATCAGACAAAATATTTGGCTATAAAACATATGAGTTACATTTTTATTTTACAGCTCCCACTACTTTTTAATGCGGTAAAAATTTTATAATGTCCGATGCAGAATAGGCAAATCAAAATTAAATAAATAATACAAGAATAAAAAAAATAGTACCAATGCAAAACAACGAAAAAAAGGGGGGGGGTAAGAAAGAAAGATAGCTTATTAATAATTGTTATCATAGATTATTAATAATTGTTATCATAGAGTTTATGATCTTATCGAAAAGCGAATTAGCGTTTTTAAACATTGGAAATGAAATTTACTAAATCTACAGAAGACAATGAACGAATAGAAAGTACTAATTCATTACAGCGCTTAACATTGCACAAGTGAAAGACAATCACTGAATGTATATCCTTTCTGCTTTGAAAAAAAAAAAAAAAAAAAAAAGCCTATAGACCACCTATGAAGTCTTTTTCCATTCCAAAGTATTCCAGATGGTGTTCTTAGCTTAAGGGGTTGTGTTATTTAAATCCTAATGTGGTGTTCCTATAGTCACCCGAGCCATTAGCGTCAACTCTGTTTGGCAAAAAATTTCATTTTCACCTCGGCGAGAATCCTACCAAACCTAGCAACCCGTTATTCTGGCGGCAGAAAACAGGTGCAACGGTCAGCGCCATCCATTGCCAAACGGCTACATTCATACTTCTCAAAATTCACTCTTAAGATGGTCCCTTACATACCGCAGTCAAATATTGCTGAGCGCTTCATATAGACTTCATAGAAACATAGTTAAAATCATTGAGCTACGTAAAAACGTATCACCGATGCTGGGATGACTATGTAAGTGAATCGCAGTATGCCCTCAGAACGGCCAGGATGATACCACGAGAAAGGCCCCTTGTGAACTCTTTCTGGAGAGAAACATAATTACCCCTTTAGATAAATTACTTTTGTCCTGAAAAGGGAGACAGAATTTAAACAAAAGGATATCCAAAAGATGCAATCAAAAAATTTAGATGTAGTCAGAAAAAAAAAACAATCACTGTATTATATATAATAAGTAAAGAAGATACTTTAAACCTGGAGAAAAAGTACTGAAAAGAAAACATGCATTGTCTTGCGCCCCACTCGAAAAAGTGTTAAAATTTTTCCGCAGATCTGAAGGCCCCCTACGTAATTGAACGTATTTGTGATCAGTTTTATATTTAAAAGGAAGCAAAGAAGGCAATATCACTGCCAATGCGGATCAAGTGAAAAAATACTATGATCGTAACGAGATTTAAAGATCTTTTTCAGGAAACTTCAAACATAGGAGAATGGCCCTCAACAGGACAAATCGTTTTCCCAGGAACAAAAAGGAAAGAAGACAGAGTCTTGGAGTCGGACGGAAAGAAGCTTCGATGTCAAGAGCCTAAATGTATGAACAAGCGGAAAATGGAAACACCCCATAAGAGAAATAGGGTCCTAAGAAAAGAAGGGGAAATTAGATCTCGCAGGAGATCGACAAGCAGGCAAATGGAGAGGAAAAAGCAACTGAGACATCAGAACTCACGACGCCAGCTACTAAGGAAGGCAAGAGTAAGTAGTAACTCGAGTTCCCCATAGGAAACGTCCATTAGACCAGGAGCGGTGGAACAGAAGGAAATATCTAAGAAACTCAAAAAATCCCACGGAAGTCCAGCCAAAAATTCCCCGGCCACTCCAAGGAGGTTCTTCGGCCGGTCACAGCCGGAAAGCGTCCAGCGCACGCAGAAGTAGACCTGAGCCGAAAGAAACCAGCATGGAACAGAGATATCAAAAGAAAACAGCCGGCAACGGGGAGTAACGGGAAAGCGGATCCGAGAGAGACACCTAAATCAAGTTCTATCGTGGGAAGACTTCGTCAAAAAGAGAATGACAGAGTACGCCAACAAAAGATAAGTCAAAATTATTCTATTTAAATTTATTTTAAAATCTAATACGAAGTTGGTTGAAAATATCTATTTCAGTTTTGCCTCGGAAAGAGGACAATATTTGTTTAATTTAGCAAGAAGCTTACAATTTTGTGTTTAGTAAAAAGCTAAAAAAAAGTTGCTTTTGCATTATGCAAGTACTTTAAAATTTTTGTATTAAGCAAGTAGCTTTAAGTCTTTATAAGAAGCAATTATAAGTTTATAAGCTTTAAGTGTTTATAACAAGTTTAGAAAATAATCTCGCAGAGTTAGAACGAAATGCTAACTTTGGTCGTAGACATTGTGGTAGGAAAATGTTTGTATGATATCAAGAAAACGAACTTCGTTACTCAAAGTGTTAGAAAATGCTTATTTGTTAGAAAATGCTTAGTGCATGTATTTAAGCCATGCTTATTTTCAGCGGAGTAAAGTAAGAAATTAATTATGTAAATATGTTTTAATTCTTAAATTCTTAAAGTATTTTGTATGCTTGAAATTGTGCTTCGAATAAAATAGTAGTCGATGTTACTGATGAAAAGTACTAAAAGAAAGTTAAGATAAATTGAGAATGATTGTAAAGTAAAATGTTAGGCTCTCCAGCCAACACTAATTTCATTAGCGTTTCATCTCAGGCTGAGGTTTGATTGTAGGGTGTCTATCTAGGTCTAGTTAGTTTAATTCTAACAAGTAAATGTGGGGTTGTCGGTAAGTGTTGTACATAAAGCACGCTCGCATTTTACGGTATGCAATGCTAGAGAGCAAGGGGGAGTTTTAATGTGGATAGAAAGATTGAATTGAGTAAATGTAGGAAAGGTTGAACTGTTAAAAGAGGAAAAAAACATACTGAAAGTGTGGCAAGTGTAAGATATGTGTAAGCAACGTACTAAACTTTTTTTCCTTCCAGGATACCTGGAAGGAGACAGAACAAGGATTCCTAAAGAAGGAAGATCAGGGCTTAATTTCTAAGATTAGAAGTGCCGGAGCCCTATGGAAGACTGTCAGCAAAGAGGAACAAGAGTAAATAAATAAATAAAATGACTAAACTCATTAATAATTTTAAAATTAAATAGTTAATTATTATCAAATTAATAAATAGCTATTTAATTAATGTTTATACATTATTATTTAATCAATAATTATTATATAATTAATTAATTATAATTTAATTGATAATTATTAGATAATTAATTATTATTTATTGAAATAATTAAAGATTGAAGTAATTATAATTAAAATTAAATAAAATGTAAATAGATAAATTAAAATTTAATACGCGATTTTTTTATAATTATAATATTAATAATATTATTAATTTATAATAATTTTATAATTATAATATAACGCAATTTTATAGCTTTATTCTTAAATTAAAATTTTCGAGATAAAATTTTTACCGAAATTTTGATCTATACATAAAAGAAATGCCGCAGCCTTCTTATTCAGTGATCCGATGAGTTCCAGCTAGAATTATGATTTATTACAAAACTAAGAAGCACCAGAGCCGAGATTCGGTAGCCCTTCGGCCCAATTTAAGCTCTGATTGTATAGGGGCCCTATTTAAGCTCTGATCGTATAGGGAAGTTCATTTATCATCACAAAAATTAAATATATTTAAAGTATAGCTGATGAAAATTCCAGGGCGAAACAGAATGAGGATATGAGTGGGTGGAAACAAAAAATGAGGGGAATCTTGGTGAGAGAGAACATTTTCTTTGACCGCGGCTCTCTGCTGATATAATTATAGCCATCAAGAGATGTATGTCAGGGGTAAAATGAGTCCTGAATCTGACTCCTAAGGATGAATGTAAAGTTTCTGGTTACGCTTTCCCCCCATTAGTGGATACTGTGGGAAGACGATGTATAGGACGTGCTTGAGCAGTTTATCTCAGTATTTCACTCTTATTGTACTCGCTGTCACTTAACGCACATTTAAGAACACAAATTTTCCTTCCTGCGAGGATAACTAACTGTAACCATCGATAACAATACACTAGATACGAAGGCATGGCGAGAAATTTACGCGTTCCTAAATAAACTCCCCCATATTTATTGCTTTTCTTAAATAGAAAGATTTCCGCATGTGAGTGAGGGGACTTTACTTGAACGTCTCATGTTCTCATGAGCCCGTATTTCTAGAGAAATAGAATATTGCAAAGTCTGCTTATTGTTAAACTAAAACACTAGGAATTCTATTTTTTTTCCATTAATATTGTGACTCAGTTTTATAAAAAGAAGTACCGGATCTCATTTTATTTAGAGCTCCGGTGCGCTCCGGCTAAAATTGCAATTTATCTTAAAAATTGAGAAGCACCGGGGCAATTTAAGCACTGAAGAAGATATTGTAAATATGTGCCGCATTTGTTCATCTGTAAAACCTTAAATTTAGTTAAGATGTAGATTAAGATTGTAAAGGCGAACGCACATGTAGATTTAGAATTTAGCTATCTTATCCACGCTTTTAAAGCTTTGTTATACGATAGTTAAATTCTGGCGAGGGAAATTGTAGGGTTTTCCTTATTTTGCATAAATTTATTTTAACTTTGATTACCTGTTGTCAACTTCTACTTCCCCTCACATTCTTTCGCCAGGATGTAAATTTAAAGTTAAGTGAAGTGCTATTTAAACGTGTGAATATCTAAGATTATTCAGAGCATGTTTCGCAACCAAGCGCACGTTTCCTTGTTGTTTCGCGGTCACACTAGTAAGCCTCTTGACCTTATCAGATTAGTATCACGCTGGTTAGATTCCTGTGAGTCCACCTCTTAGGCGTAAACTTAAGTGCGCTTTTGCACTATTTGTTTAAAGTTTGACTTGTATTATATTCTACGTTTTAGTTTACACCGCAAGTGGACGGTGTTTTTGTAACGCACGAAGTCCGTGCCTTACTGTTAAATTAGTTTGAATTAATAAAGGATTATTTTCACCCTTCTTCTGTGCTGATAATTAATTCACGCATGTGCGAGAATTTGCTAGGTTGATTGTAGGATCTAATTTAGTTCATGTGGAATAACAGAGACAGATCTTACACAATAACATAATAATTATTATTCAACACAGTAATAATACACATTATCCTGAATAAATAGCGCAATTAAGCTGATATGTTAATTTTTTTTTTACCATTTAGAGCTATTCCGTTAGAAATTCTTAGTTGTAAATTTAATCTCACGTCTCTACTTCCCGTTTCAAAATATGATGGAAATATCTTCAAATATAACAAGATGGTATGCAGTTTTTAAAATCCTTTTGGTATGAAAGCAGATAGTAAAGTTTTTAGGATTCAAATAGCAATTCCTATCATCCTAAGCAACTTGGATAAGCCATTCTCAGATAATTGTGTACTCTAGCCATCAGAAACGTTGGAAGGTCTCCAAAATACTTGTGACGCAGTGGAAGATTTCAATGGACAATTGATCAATCTCAAACTGCGACTTCAGAAAAGAAAAATCATTATCGCGCCCAGGGCCGCAATGAGACTTCTAGAGTCCCAAATTTCTTAAAAGATGTTGGTGTCCCCACATACATTTACGCTAGTTTTCTCTCATTCCTTCTCTCTCGGCCTTGGTTTAGCTGTCAAAGCATTACTTTTCCCGAAGCATTGGCTTCTCCCCTTGCAGCCTCTGCTGCCCTCTTTGCCCGTTATAATGTCAAACTATAATTAGAACGTTATAATGTCAAACTATAATTAGAGGTACAATGATTATAACTAGTTCTTGTCCTTGAATACTATAAATATTCTAGCACACTATAAAAAAGCACCACTCTCTTCATCTGTCCTTGAATAACCTCAATCCTTGCTTTATTAAACTAAAGCACTTTGCACTAAAATAAAAAAGCACTTTGTACTAAAGCCTTAAAAGCAACTCTTTATTAAACGAAAGCACTAAACATTTTGTAAAATTTATCAATATTCCAAAAGAATCAGGTTTTAAAAAAATGACTATATTATTTTTCAGAATGTTGAAAATACATTTCCTCTTACTTGTTTTAGATCATGATTAAATGTATAACACTCACCGTCAGGGTTTGCCTCACTGATATTTAGTATGTTTCAATATGCTTTTTTGATGTTCGGAAAAAGTCATTATTCGTCGTGGGCTCTATAACCCCTCCTAAAGCCACTGTTGCTCACTGGCTGAGTGGATAAGTGATCCTTGTAAATTGGTGTTACACCAGGATTTAAAACTCAGCATTTCACATATTATATGAACATGATTCATTTGCTTTAAGATGGCCTACCTTAAACACATCTGTCGCATAAGCAAAAAGCTGTGTATTGTTTATTAATTAAATAAACAATTTAAAATTCATGATGTAATGTAAAAATGTATTCGGTTGCTGAGGGTTCGTAACAGATTGAATACACAAACTATTGAATACACAAAACATTGAATACAAAAGATTGAATACACAAAACAAAAATGGTGAATAGCCGGTAGTCTCGTGGACAAGACTGCGATAGGCAGTAATAACAGCGGTAACTTCTTGTCAAAGCCCTCTTGGTATCTGGAAATCACCAGCGAGAAGTTATTAAGGATGTTTTGATTAAACCTGTCTACCATGCCTTCTGATTGGGGAGGTAAAGGTGTAGTTTGAGTTTTGTCGATGCCGAACAGTTTGCAGAGTTCTTTAATTACAGCCGAGGTGAAATTTCTTCGGAACCTGGAAATCCGATGCTGTATTATTACTTCTGATACCATTATAGCCCCTTGATAAGGAAGGGGATACGTTTCAAACAATTTGGGGAAGTAATCAATGACAAAGACGATGCATTTGTTGCAATCAGCAGTTCGTGGTGGATGTTCCCCCCCGGATGTCAAAGGCGCGTACGTTCAAAAGGCTCTCCTACTTTGTACTTTTTATTAAATAAATTAGCAACTTTACTTTTAAGAAAAGTAAGTTAAGTAAACATAGGAATTTAATGACACTATCACAATTATTCTATCTCAACGGTATTTTCAAGTGATTGTAACTGCATGCACGCGATCTTCGAGCATGAGCGATTGGACGAAATCCCTTTTTCCATCTCTCATTCCGAAGCCGGGGTATGTGTAAAAGTGAGGTTTGGAATCTAGAGTCTAGCCACTTGTTCTTTCCTCCCACGATGTTTTGTTTACCACGATGTTTTGTTTACCATGACGTTCTCGCTTTGCGATACTTTCTCCGTGACATTTTCGTCCGCGATGTATGTGCTGCGTTGTTTTCGGCGGACACCGTCACAGAGCACGCTACACCTATGAAGTTCCGAGACGGAATGAGGAGATTCACTTGAGGGCTACTAGGGAAAAGTAAAGATGCTTCAAGAGCTTGTAAGAGCTTCTTCTTATAAGAGGCATAATGCGACCAACAATCAACGTTCAAAAGCCATTTCCAAATAAGAAATCAGCTACGAAATCTCCCCATTTACAAACAATGTCGAGAGTGTTACTTACACATGCTTCGTGCACAATCAACTGGAGTGCTAATCATTTGCATATCACAGGTTGTCGTACCTTTCATGCAAGTTTGACATTTTTAGCATGTTGCCTTCATAGTGTGGTAATTTTAAGGACGAGCTGTGTGTAAAGAAGAGTATACTTTTGTCTGTGTATGTGTGCAGTTCATACGACTTCATAGTTTTATTCCAATGTTGACGAAATTTTGCACACTTGACTTTCGAAAGAAGAGGAAGGTCACTGTCTCCATAATATGTATACTTGGGACGTTTATATTAGAGTGCTGGGCTCACGACAGGCATCTTAGGTTCAGTTGCGTTCCCACTATCAGGAGAAGTGATAAATTGTAAGTAAGAATTTATAACCTTTTTCTTATATAAAAAATAGATATTAACATTCCTACACAGGTTCAATTTTGAAACCACGTTACCCATCTTAGAATTCATGTCGTCATTGTTGTGTTCCCGCTGTCAGCCCTTACTGCAACAAATAGAACGCACCATGTTCGTTTACTTTTAAAACAGTGTAGAACCTATAAGGCGGAATTTAAGAACGCTCTCTATCAATTTTTCGTGAATATTTCGAACAAAGTCAGCCAAATTTCATGGCTATTTTCCGAAAGTTCGTTTCTGAAAAAAGACATAAACGGTAGCAAGTATCCTTCTTACTAAAACCGTTAGATGACCCCATGTTAGTTATCTTTTCAGAACAGTGTAGAATCTTTAAAGTAGAATTTAAGTGCAACCCCTACCAGATTTTTGCGAACATTTCGAAAATACTACCCCGTTCCCCGAAGTGAAGCCTCTTCACTCTGCGAAAAACTAGACAGCACTGGGTACTTCAGCTAATGCAATGCAGGTATAAAGGAAGGTAATTTAATCAATTCACGATAATAATTCATAAGTAATTAAGAAGCCATGAAAGAATTTTCAGATATGTTACAGATTTCTGTGCGTTCCTGTTGCCAGTCAAATACTTCTTGAGTTCATCTTCTAGAATAAAAGTACACTGCTGGCCATTAAAATTGCAACATCAGGATGGAATGATCTGACGAGCGTCAAAATCACATGAAATGAAGAAGATATTGGGGTATGCCAATGATTAGTATTTCAGCCCATTCAGGCGAGGCAGCAGAGAGAAATGACATCTAAAGCATTACATAAAAGAAAAGTTGTGTAGTGTATTTCTCATTCGGAAAGTGCTTTGTAAGGTCGGATTTTGCTCAGAATATCGTGTTATGTTTCGAATAATGAGAAGAAATTCTTACCAGCAAATGTCGGAATGGGATAGAGGTAGGATCGTTGCCTATCGAGAGTGTGGATTATAGTTCCGTGATATCAGCCGTCGCATTGGTCAATATCCAACCGCTATCATGCGAATATGGAATCAATGGATTGTTGAGGGTCATATTAAACGGCATGCAGTATCTCAATGCCCTCCCATGATTATCGCCCGAGACGACAAGCATGTTGTGAGATCAGCCCTGCAAAACCGTACAACCCTATCACGGTACCATTAGTCGGGAAATGAGCATGTTTGCAGCACTCCTAGTATCCGCTCGTAAGGTGCATCCATGTTTGCAGCCGCGTGGACTATCAGCACGATGACCATTATTTCGTTTTCCCTTGACGATGCATCATAGAGAAAGACGACGACTCTGATGCGCTAACAGCAAAGCTGGATACGTCGTCTTTTCAGACGAGTTCCGCTTCGTGCAGTATTCTGATGGCCGTCTACGTGTCTGGAGGCTTCGAGGAGACAGTAAGTCACCTGCTTGCATTCGGTATCGGCACAGGGGCCCTGCACCTGGTGTAATGGTTTGGGCTGCCGACACTCACATCTCTTGTTCGGATCGACGGTAATTTGAACGCAAATCGGTACATTTCTGACATCTTACGTCCAGTGGTTGTTTTCCATCTTCGACGCCTGCCAAACGCCACTGGGAAATCATTCTTAAGGAAATCACTCGCGAAACGAAATTGTTTGAATCAACGTTTCCCTCAAAATGTTTTCCTTTAAGCGACTCAGTACACTGGAGTTATTCTGGTAAACTTTCGATAAGGTCAGAGACAGCAATTCATCGGTAGTGGATCGAGGAAGGAGTGAAAGTCATGGAACGGAAATGATGAGAAATGATGACATGACCATGACATTATCTTGATATGGTCGTTTTTTGCTCTTGTTTACATGTCCTAATGCACCTTTCTGTATCCAAATGCAATATATGCCCGAAACTTAATGTATATAAACAGCACTGATCCATAGTTTGTGGTTAGTGCTCTCTGCTTCTCTTTTTCACTATTTCGTTTCAAAACTATTTTTATCGAGCGTTGTCTGTTTTATTAAACGAATGACAAAACTTCTCAGATTAATGTATTTCATTGTGTGAGTTTGTAGCATATTTAATATCAGACTTATGCTTATCTATTATGAGAGAATCTTTGAAAAAAATTAATCATATGGGCAATCAACTAACATATAAAATAACTTTTAAGAAAACATGACAACAAAACGAGAAAGGAAATGTTTGACTGATAGTTAAAGATCCGGCTGTTGGTAGCTTAATTTCTACAGAGTGTGAGTTTTAGAGCCGTGTCAAATATTGAATTTTATTTTTAATTTTTACATGCACCTAAAGTAAACCTTTGTCGAACGGTGGGGTTACACGATGAACATACTGCACATACGGCAAAATCGCATACCGCAAAGCTAGCTTTCTATGAGCAAAACAGGCTAGGTATAGTTCAGATTAAAAAAGTACGTACAATTTATAGAAACTTAAATATTATTGTAATTAAAAGGGAAAAGTGAGACAAATGTTAATTGAGAGGATTTCTGTTACCGTTTAATAAGCAGATACATGATACTATTATCTTTTTCAAATAGCCTGGTGATTTTTGTTCATTGTTGACTCAAATCATTAAAGGTTTCACCTTAAGGAGAGTTGTAGGGGTTTTACGCTCTTTTCCTAGCAGTTATTTTTATTTTGAAAAAAGCTTTTCCCTTAAATTCTCATTTACCACCTACGTTTCCCCACCGAAAAAAGTTTTCAGTATTTCCATTTATACAAATAAGGTAGGAACGAGTATTTAAGCTGAAGTCTGGGTTACTTCAGTAGGAGAGCGTGTTTTGCCTTCCGGCGACGTTGTTGCTATTAGTTAAAGCTGCTATTTTACGCCCGTACTTAATACGTACCTGCTAGTATACGCCGGTTATACTTAATTAAGGGCCACCTCCGCGAGTTTGATTCTGTGCATCTTCGGTAGGTTAATTTTTTCCAGCATTAGTTTAGTTTTATATTTTCTATTTTGACTTAAAGCCCAAGTAGAGGCTTCTTGTACCCCAAAGAGGGTCCATCTGCATATATATTTATGTCATGTTTTATGGCGTAGATGAAGGAATGCGGCACTTTTTAGCAGCTTTCGATATTCGTCATGGCTGATAAGACAGCAGTGGCTGAAGGTAAAAGTTATAATGACGAATTTAACACAACTGAGCTTGAAGTATCATAATCTTTATTTCTACGCCTATCAAATCATCCTTTTGCAGATAAGATATTTTTCAATCATAACTGAATGCAATAATTTCCATGTACGCTCGTTTTACAGTACCACATCATTTTAGGCAAATAAACAGCAGAGAGGATCAGAAGCGTCTTGTCAAGAGGAAAGCTTAAGCGAAAAAGGTCAGATTGTCGCAGTTCTTCAGAGAAAGAAGGGAAGGAGTCGAAAGGTTTCAGTTCCGAAATTAAATTAAAAATAAAAGAGGTAATAGCCAATTAAATTTAGAAGTTTGCTTTCATATTTTTTATCTTATACATTCCCCTCTTTCAAAGAGAAAAAGGCGGAGTGACAAAAGAGCCTTTTTTGAGAGAAAAAGCATTAGAGCCACAAAATTTAGAACAATTAAAATATTATAAGTTGTAAAATTTTGAATTTAATAATAATTTAAAGCACTGTATTCTTTTAAAATAAATACACATTTTTAGAGTCCTATTAAAATTTGAGTCCAATTTGTAAAAAGTTCTTGTTTCTGGAACATTCACATCACAATTTTGATACTTCAGGGAAGGATTTCCAAAACGTTTTGCACACAATATCGCAATTATAACAATTTTATATACTCATTAATTATTACGAATAATCATAAATCTTAAAATTTTGCACTATACTAATTTCCACATTCATAAGTAATATTTTTATTTATTATTATCATTTGTAATAGCATTATTGAAATTATGGTTTTTGCTTTTATTATTACATTTTACAATTTCCTTATTTTACAAAAAACTAGAAGACCCCACAGTTTTCTTCTCTAGTACACACATATCCAGCTATTTGGGCAAAATCACTTTAACGAACTCATGTACTAAATTTTCATGAGTGGTTATGTGTTGCTTTGGCAGTTACTTATAAAGGCTTCCGTTTCTTGTTTAAAGGCAACTGGCCTTTTGGGAATATGCAGGATATAAGAAAATACGATATCTATCTCTCTGTATATATATATATATATATATATATATATATATATATTAACCCTTCTCCGAAGTTGTTTCTATGCACAAGAGCTCAAGGAATAGTCAAAATATAGTTCCTCAGCACTCTAGAATTCAAAGAACTCTATTTTTCAGCTAGGATATTACAAAGTATCTCTTCTTTTTTCACTTGGATCATCTTTATTACAAAATCAAATATTTCCTGTTCCTTTTCTAATAAGTGGCTTAATTTCTTGTGCGTTAAAGGTTTTTATCTTTTTCACTATCGCCGATTTCACCATCTGCTAGTGTTATGAGATCATCTAATTCTTCATTTGGAAGTTCATGCTCGTCTTCTCGACCATTTCTTTAATTTATCCTTTTTCCATGAATGAAAAAACTTCGCAAATCTCTTTCAGAATTTGTATGACTTCCTGAGCTTGACTTTCAGTCGACTGAAATCCTTTAAAAAGTTTGACACATTTCAGTCAGAACTGATATTAGCAACATTCATTGCTGATGAATTCATTTGTTCGCAAGCAGGTTGTATCATTTCTACAGTCTTATGCTGAATTTCTTCTAAACTGCCATTAGTGAGTAGCAGTTTCCTTCGCAGAAATGTAAACATGCCTGGCATAATAGTTATGATTCCTTGATTCATTGATTGGATGTAATGTTCGGTGGAAGGGATAAAATGTATACATTTATGTGCAATGTTGTGACGACTTTAGCACCGTCTCTTGGAGCATTATCGATAATCCGAAATTTAAAATCTCTGGTTTTGCTGTTCTAAGCAGTTTTGGTCTTTGAAATGGACTTTTTTGGTTTAACCCTCTCGCTGCGTAATCTTTTTATCAAAATAGGGTCGAAAATTGCGTAATTTTTTAATTACATATTTCAAATCTACATATATTTTAGAGTTAAAATATACGAAAGGTTTTTGTAAAAGAGTTTTTTTTTTTTTTTTTTTTTTTTTGCATTATAGAATTAGCTCAAAAAAAGGGTGTCGGAAAGTTTAACTTGAAGAATAATCATATAAAAGAAAAATTTTGAAAATTAATCTTGGTTAAATTATGATTTATTTTATAAAATATAATAGTGAAACGTATATACTAATGAAAATACGCAAAATACTTATAAAACATTTATTAGAAATGAAGCGTAATATGATGAACTTTGAAACAAGCCTCGAGACATCCTATCTCGCCGTCGTTGCACAAAATACGCGTTTCTTTGAGAATTTTTTTGCCAGTTTCCGTTCTTTTTTTAGAAGCAAACAGCACAAAGTCTACGAGTTTCTTTCTTGATGAAATTGGTGGATATGTTACCGTGAAAGACCGAAATTGGAGAATGTCGACTTTCACCGGAGAATAACAACATTCACCAAATACGTCGGTGAAAGACCGAATATTTCACTACATTCTTGTATATTCGGACCCTCACCGGTGTATGTCGACAATCACAGATATGCTCTGTGTGTGGTGTAGGTCGAAAAGAGTGGAGTATATGTACGTGCTGTCATTGCAAAAGGAAGTGTTCCACAAATAAATGCAGTTGTAAAAGGAAGGACCTCTTGTGCAATTCAAAGTGTCCTAAGTAAATAAGATTTGAATCACATAATTCAGTAAGTTTTTTATTACTGTTATTTTATTTTCTCATTTAGAACGTACTGTATAATTAAGTAAGTTTTTAACTTATTATTTTCCTTTCTCATTTTGAATGTATTGTGTGTTTTAGGTTCTCATGTTCTTAAGTTCTTATTTCAAGTTTCAAATGCGTTTATTCGCGACTGAATTACGGAGAAGAAAATATAATATCGTTATATGTTCAACATTCACCATTAAGTACATGGTTAATGTCGACGTTGACCGGTGTAAGTCAGAAATAACAGTATTTGGAAAATTTTTCGGACATACACCAAGAGACTATGTGAATGTTGACATACACCGGTGAAAGTCGACATTCTCCAGATTTCGGTGTTTCACCGTAACAGATGTATAAAATTCTGAAAATTAATCTTGGTTAAATTATGATTTATTTTATAAAATATAATGGTGAAACGTATATACTAATGAAAATACGCAAAATGTTTATAAAACATTTATTGTAATACGATGAACTTTGAAACAAGCCTCGAGACATCCTATCTCGCCATCTTTACACAAAATACGCGTTTCTTTGAGAATGTTTTTGCCAGTTTCCGTTCTTTTTTTAGAAACAAACAGCATAGTGTCTACGAGTTTCTATCTTGATGGAATTGGTGGATATATATTTAGCAAAATATCGAGCAGTTAGTCTCATGTGAGTTGAACTGCGGACATCTTTGAGCTTTGAAAAGAGCGCGCAAATGTGTTTGTATATTTCCCAAAAATATGAACAACTAACGCCATATGTTAACCTAGATCTGATTAAATAATTAAACTTCACAGAAAAGCCGAAATGAAGCCATGAACGGAAAAAGAGCGGGTTGCACAGTTAAATAAACGAAAAATATGCATCTCTGCGGTTTGGTTTGGTTTGGTTTATTAGATTATGGCAAAGCACTCGAGGGCTATCTGCCTTAAGGGAGGGATGCCTTCGTGGAGGACTTTTTGAGGGAAACTGACTCGTATACACGTTACACATGGGGAAAACCGCATCTCTGCGGAAATCGCGGGTTGCGCAAATTTTGCTACTTCTAGGTTGCCCGTGGAAATCATGGGACACGCAGCGAGAGGGTTAAGAAATGAATTTTTAACCCAGTCATTTAAGAGGACTATCGCAACGCGACCCATGTTTTGCAGCGCACCGCGTACAGCGGAAATTCCCGCATTGGGATGGATTAAATGGAGACAGTTAGAAAACATGTATACGCAAAATCGAGTTCCACAAATTTGTGTTCTACAAGGGTTAATTGTATAGCTCAAGAAAAATGAATGAAAAAATATATTTAAAATCATCGATTACTTTCTGTGATGTTACTATATCTTGCAGACGGAATTAAAGTGTATACATAAAATACTTAAAATATGGATTTTAAATGTACAGTCAATTTCGTATTATATTTTGGTAGTAAAACTTTATTACTTAAATAATATGATATCAATATCTGATACTGGAATTAAACACTAAACTTTTTAATGAATTCAGAATTTATTAAATGCAAACAATTATTAGTAAATTACATTATAGTAATAAGTGAGAACAGTTTAATTATAATCTAGAAAGCCTTTAGGTGGTCTTCTGCCTAGAGGGGTACCTACCCAAGGATAATACTTAGGGCAAGATATACAACTCTTCATATTCCTTAAAGGTTTCTTATAAGCGCATGTTTCAGATTTTTCACAGGGTTCAGCACCTTTCGCCGTTCGCGCTCTATACTCTTCCACTGTCACGGGTTTCTTCATATATTCGATTACTTCACGTATGGACACCACAAAAACATCATCATTTTCCAAAATTTCATCCAAAAACTGGAGGTATCCATTTAGGCGTCCCTCTTCCCGAAGCCAGCCTTCATGAAGAAATACTGGGAATGGTGCCTGTTTGGAATACATGTATTTCTTATTAATAATATATATTCATTTAGGAGGACATGTAAAGTTTGTTTCACAGATTACATAATCATCAGCTTTATTTAATACGAAATAAAGATTGAGGTAAACCATATAGCAGCAGAATTACGTATTTAAAATTGACAGATAAATTTTAGTGATATATATTGATATACTTGGTAAAAGTAGGTTAAGTCACAGCTTTATGGGGCTTCAGAAAACATTGACAGAGGATTCATTATGTTTTGCATCATTGTAACTAGATCCATATATTAGTTGCAGGCAGAAGTAAATTTTATCCCGTTAAAGCCTGCGAGAAATACGAAATTAAAATTGCAAAAAATAAACATTTTTCAAGAAACTCTTAAAGCTAAACAGTTCAAAGACTGGACATAAAATCTTATAAACTCATCTGTAAATTTTAACCCCTTGCCTGTGAAGCCCGAAATTAGTTCGGGCAACGCAAATGCGCCAATTTTGGAATGCCGAGCGGAGCTCGGGTAAAAGGAAAGTTCGGTATTTCAATTCCGTGAAGCCCAAACTCAATTCTTCCAATGCATAATATGTAATTTACTGTTTTACGAATAGATCGCGATACGTTTCCGCGAAATGTTCGGCAGTTTCGCGCCATTTGTCTGATTTTTGAAATTTTGCCTTTCTTTCCAAATTTCATTCAAACCACATTATGTTCGCAATGTCGGAATCAGACGATGATGAAAAATGCTTGTTAAGCTCTTCATGCTCAGATATCAGTATTTCAACAGAAGAGTATGATTATTCCAAAAGTGACGACGAAATTGAAACTCTTTCAAGCCGAACTTGGATGTCGCTATTTTTGAATTACTTTCCACGAGCCGCTCCAAGATTCTCATTCCAACATCCACAAGCGGGTGAAATATAGTTGACGTTTCTAGTTTTACTCGAGAAAACAATATTTTGAACTATTTTTTGATGACAATTTCATTCACACTATTAGGAAGAGATTAATTGATATACAGTGCAATGCATTGGAAGGCAACATCTGAAGCCGAAAACCCGATCAAAAATGTCGGTGCCCACAAATGACCATGAAATGAAAATATTTCTTTTGCTCCATATTTTATAGGGTATTATTCAGAAGTCCGACTTCTTAATGGTTTGGTCAAAAAGACATGTCTTGAAACTCCTTTTTTTTTTTCCCAAAGTTACGTCCTACGACAGATTTCAAGTGATAAGAAAATATTTACATTTTGTGTACAATGAAGAAGTCGACCTTGAAACACACCCTAATTCAAAACTGCACAAAACTTGGCCCATTAATGTAAAAATCCACTGTAAAAGTCTGTGGGACATGAAATTCACAACAGTTGATATAAATAATAATAATTATTGTGTTAGTTTATTATATTTATCTTGAAAATTATGTCATTTGATTTATTTTGTTATAATTTGAGCACAAAATTGGTATTATCCACGAACATTTACCATATATGTGAAAATATTGAATATAGCAGTTATTTCGTTTAAAATTTTGTTTTTTTAAAAAAACTAATCTATTTCTAACATTTTGATGATAATAACGAACAAAGTTAAAGAGGGGGGAAAAAAAGTTCATTCTTGGCACGTTTTTCTGAAATATATTCCACAAGTTAAAGAGAAAGAATATTCTAGCTGCGAAATTGATAAAGATGTTCGCTACGAAAACTACTCTTAGATAACTCAGCATAAAAACTTCTAAAAGCAAAATGAATACAGTGAAACCGCTCACAGTACCAGATTTTTGTGGACATCCATAGAGGTCTTCAATTTACAATATGCTATAATTGATGGTTTCGTTACTGTTATATAATTATGTTCTTAGGAATACAGTCATTATAAATTCTAGCAGAATATTTCGAGCAAATTACAGGAATTCTATTTAAGTTTCTTATATTTAAATCCGAATAGGAATATAAAATTTAAATAAAAAAAACCTCTTTTGTCAGTTCTGTTCAGTTGATTAAGAAGGGGGCACCTGGTCTTTATCAATAGTTAGCAAGTATGATTCCAAATTTTTCATTAGTTACATTTGTTTTAATTTTAAATAATAATAATAAAATTAATTACATTGTGCAATTAAAATACATAATTTAAAAGTGTAAATTTTGAAACATCTTTACATGAAAGAGAAATAAAGAGCTAAAGATAAAATGAAAATGCATTAAAAATAAAATCCACAGTTCATAAAATTCCTGCAGTTCGATCAAACATTCATACAAACAGTCATAATGCCTTAATTAAGCCTTATTACTTTATGATCATAATATAAAGTAATGAAATTTCAAAGAAGAAATAAATGTACTATTATTACACTCATATTTTATTTTAAGAGGGATGACAGATATCTTTTCCCAATGCAGCAAGTAGATGTATTTGCTTAAAAAGGGATCTTTTAAAAGGAATGATATTAGCTTCGGAAAATTTAATAGTATACTGTTTCGTTAAGGTGCGTTTCATTATATTATAATGATCTGGAAATCCAATGTCCCCAAAGACACAATGATCAGTAGTGGTATATCTATGTTTATAGAAAACGTTGCAAAGGGACTATGCCCTGTTATGTATCTTGGTAAGTGCGTAATCGAAGTTTTACGATTTACATTAGCTGATAGTTAAATCAATTGTTGGCAGATAGTTAGGGGTGCATCTGCTCTTTCACAAAAATTGCATTCTTCTTGCCGTTTTTTCAGTGAGATTGCCAAGAGATATTTTAAGATATAATCTGGGTCAATGAATGAGAGTATATTGCTCATTATAATTTTCAGCGGCCCCTCTTGCTAACTGGTTAGCCAGCTCATTACCATGTGATCAGCATGAGATTTTATTATACAAATATTAATACTAATTCTTTTCCTGTTTCGTAATAATTGTCGAATTTTGTAAATTAATGGTATTTTCAATGAATGATTTGAAACTATAAAAAGTACTGACATACTATCAGTATACATATATATAGTATAGTTAAATGAACATTCCATGACCAATAGTTTTGGCAAAGAGCTACTGTATGAAATGTATATTGTCTGGTCATCGAATTCTTCCGAAATTTTATTTGTCAGAAAATTATTTCATTATCGTTTTCACACATGCAAGTAGCCGAGTGTGTGCAACTACCTCCCAGCTTGGCATGGGATTTGTGTGATGGTAAAATAAGCCCATCATAAATTGAAATATTTTAAATCGAAAAGACATTTGAAATGCCTAATCTATGGAACAGAACTTTGGGCTAAATATAGTGTTTTCAGATGGTTTATGATAGCTTACATTTGGGTAATGTCATACAATAATAATGCCTTTTGCATCACAACTTGTTTAGTATCTCCTGTAGTTTATCTAGCTTTGTACAGAAAGTGAATTCCGTATGCTTGCCATTAACATGCAAAACTGAAAGCTAAAAGCTTTGCATGTTAATGGCAAGCATAGACAAAAAAACCAATCATAGACCAAGACCAAAAGAATATTTGAAAATTCAGCATAACTAGGTCATAGATGATGGGGATGCTACTCCTAATAAAGGTCACCTATTTTCTTTCGATGAATGCTAAGAAAAGTGGTAAAAGACAGTGGTATATTTGTAGTTTTGGTGGTTTAGCAGGCGTTATGCTATTCAGCGTAAAGTTTTACAACAAAAATGCTGCTTTTTCTTTCATTTTAATTGTAGAATACTTTTTTCTTCTTTTTTTATCTGTTTCTGTGCAGGAAGCAGTACCGTAGCTAGGAAGAAAGAAGGCAAAGGAAAATCTGTTGCCTAGCGTGGTATCCTGATGTTACCACAATTTAGAATTATATTTATTTAGAATTATGTTAAATTAAATGTTGTCTATTCTTGGCAAAAAGGAAGGGGAACGAAATCTTCAATTGTTCCCGTACGCTGAGAACCCTAGCAGAAGGATCCTGTATTGTTTGTGCGCTTTGCTTGTAAGCGCTGAGCATATCTTGTGCATTTCACAAGCTCCGGAAAGAAAGACGTTTAAATTTCGAAATATTATTCCTTCTGAACGCGTGGCACTTTCTTTCCATCAAAAAATTTTAAAGTGGAAGAATCAGAGACCAAAACTCAACAACATCTGTTTAACTATAGCAAAATTCAACAACGTAATTAAATTAACGCGATATCGTTTATTTCGGAGGAGGCAATGCAAGCACAGTCACAGATAATACATTCAATAGTGATGTGCTGTGACAATTAACAGTTGTAATTGAATTCAATTCACCTGGAAATTTGAATTCAGAAATGAATTCCCCCCCCCACACGCAATTTTGAAATGGGAAACACAATGAGAGTGAAGGAATCTCATTCCCAAGAATAATCCATCACTTTTCCCATTCAAACTCAGCAATTTTAACTAATGATCAGACGGTGTGGCTAATTCTAAAGATTTGTGCAGAGGCACTACCTGGACGATTACATGCTGAAGTTTCTGGCGGCCCACTCATTCCTACCTACCTACTTATCTACTAATAGAGATGAAGAACTGCGCTTATTGCTTAAAAGTCGTTAGTTTATTTATCATTAATAGACATATTAAATTGAAAGAAGAGTACCTTAGCTTTCATATTAAATTCCTGGTAGTTCGGTCCGAGGTTCAAATCCCGCGAACGGGCTGGCTGCATGGGCGTTTTCGTGGTTTTCCCCATGTGTAACGTGTATACGAGCCAGTTTCCCTTAGAAAGTCCTCCACGAAGGCATCCCTCCTCTTAGGCAGATAGCCCTCGAGGCTTTGCCATAGTCACACACACACACACTTTCATATTAAATTGTAATGATATTAAATCTTATAGGAAATTTGTCGTCTATGTGCAATTAAGAAATTTAGAATAATTAGACGTGTCTCCCAAATATTATGGAAGCATTTTGTGCCACATGCCATTAAAACTTATTTGGACAGATTTAGTGTAAGAACATAACAAATCGCAAGAAGATAAATCTGGCCAGATATTCAACGTTTGCTTTCGTTTCTTACCTACGC